TTTTGCGTAGTTAAACCTAATAGAAAGAGTTCTGGTTTTAGTTCTACCGCTTGCTCTAATATTTCTTCCAGCCATATTTTAATCCTGTTCCAAAAATCACAAGCTCGCGTGCATTCCCACCAAATATGATAGTAAGTTCCACTTTTCAAATTACATTTCCAACATTTAGGGGAAACATTGGTATACATTTTAGACAATCTTGTGGGTGGGAGATGCCATCTATAAAACATTTTGTAAAGGTTCTCTTTGTAAGAGGTGGCCAAAGTAAGCTTCTTGTTTCTTGCCCACAGTTCTTGCCATATGTGCAGATCAAAATTAAGACCAAAGTCCTTGCTCCAATTCAACATAGTCACTTTTACTTGTTCCTCGTACATTACCTGATCTAGAAAATAATAGTATAATTTTTTAATCATTTTATCCTCCGACCCCAAAATTATTTTATCCAATTCTATTGGTTCTAATTTAATGCCTAACTCTTTTTTGTCTTTCTGATATCTCGCCTTCAGTTGCAGGTATGCCCACCATTCTAATTCTATCCCTTCATCGTGGCTGGTTTTCCTGGATTTCAATTCCCCTCTTTCATCTAAGATGTTTTTATATGTTATGGTCTTGTCTAATTGAGTAAATTTTGGGTGTACATATATTTCTAACGGTGAGATCCAACTAGGTACTTGGGTATAATTTGGTTGCCAAATTTTTGTCCATACATCAATAAGAGCTTGCCTAATATAGTGACTTTGAAAATATTTGTGTACTTTATATTTATGATCCCATAATATGGCATGCCATCCTATTTGTAGGTCATGGCCCTCCAGACATAATAGAATTCCAGAGAGTAGCTAGAAGAGATAAGAATGCCTTTTTATCAAAATTCCAGAAATGTATTTAAAATTATTTGGTTTCAACTCTAGTATTTTATAAATACTCTATATAATCTCTGTGTGTATGAGAATTTAAAATCTTGTCTCCAAGATTTGCTCTTGAAAACAAACCCATTATTTTATGATCTAGATCAGTGATGGCGAACCTATGGCATGTGAGCCAGAGGCGGCACTTGAAGCCCTCTTTGTGGGCATACGCACTGTTGTCACAGCCCTGCCTACCCCGTGGCCCCCCTCACAGCAGCTCCCCCAGAGCAGAGTTGCCCCCAGGTGCGGCCCGTGCAGAGCAGCTCAGCAAAGGACATAGCAGCCAGGTAGCAGGGATAAGTACGCCCTCGCGCCTTGTCAAATGCAGATGATGCTGCAGGGCATGGGTGGAGGGCGTGGCTACTATGGTGCTGCTGGGCCACCTGGGCAATCTGCATGTACACTGAGACCTTTTGTACCAGAGGCAATTCTTTGTGTGTCTAATCACACTTGGCCAAATAAAGCTATTCTATTCTATTTTGTTCTATTCTGTTCTGTTCTAGCCCCCCTTTTCACTGCTATAAACAATTTTTCTGTATCACCGAAGATTGGGTTAATTCCCCCAATGTACAAAAATGTGGTAATTTTGATCCTGCTACAGTAATTATTAATCAATTAGTAATACACACACACTACATACACACATAGAGATAGATAGATAGATAGATAGATAGATAGATAGATAGATAGATGATAGGCATAGATATATTCTGCAGTAGTTGATATATTTTTAATTAGTGCTCTTTGAAACTAACTAGTTAGTATAATTCTGGAACAATTGCTACTGTACTGATATGAAATGGAAGATTGCTTATAGAGGAGACGTGTATATACTGGGAGGTGCATATGAATGCACTTGTTCATGTCTAAAATGCTTAAATTGTGTTTCCATATTCACATCTCTCTTCAGACAACTCCTTCCTTTATGTTTTCCACCAAAAAAAGTCTGGGCAGTTCACAAGTAAAAATAGTAAACAAAAACTATACAACATAAAACAAAAAATAAGTATGAAAGATGGTCATATAATAAAAACTGGATAGAAGCAAAGAAAAAAAAAACCCACCAAGATCTGCACAGCCTAAGTAGGGCTTTCAATCATTTTCATCATGCAGGTTTTCCAGCCCTCCAAAATATAAGCTGGATGGGAGCATCTGAACCTCAGGTGGAACCTTCTTCCATAGGGAAGTCCTTGGTACAGAGAAGGGGCACTTCCAGGGTCCTGATTGACGACATTCCTTAATCGGATGAACTTGGAGCATGCCAACCCTGCCTGTTTTAAAAGCTAGATTTATAGCACCTCAAGTTTCTGATATTGTTTGGTCTTTGGATTTTTTAAATAAAACATAATATTGCTATACCTCTGTAGTTTTTTTATAAAACTGCAATTTGATTTTTTTGACTGAAATACATGCTTTTTACATGTTGAAGATTAACATACACATAAATGCAAATAATACTGCATGTAGAGCTAAGTAACTTTTTAGAAGTTAGTTGTTTTAACACCTGCACAATTTGCAGTGTTAATTACCAAACATTTCAAACTCAGAAGATTGTTCAGTGAGAATAAAAGCTCCCCTTTAAAGCTAAAGAGATCAGCCACCACTAAATGTCAAAATTTAACTGACTTTTTTTTGTGAGCTTATAAAGTACAGTTGAGGAAAGTTTCCCTTTTGTTATCTAGACCTTTCCATTTGTTTGTAGAGTGTCAAAAAATTTTAACAGAAAAGAAAGTGAGAATGTTACGTTCAGTGTGCAAGGACTTGAAAAAAAATATCAAAACAATTATTTGTTGTCACTGTGGTCTTCTTTGCAGCTTTTTGAATTATATTTTCCTTTTGAAACACATGCCTAGTTTATAAATGCTGGTGATGATTCTTGTACTGACCCCTAAGTGGAAAAGTATGCAAACATAATTCGAGTGCTTTCTCAGACAGAAAGCATTGCACAGAATTTAGCTTGCCTATTGTCTAATTTGGGATATCCAATTCATTTTAGGGCTAAAGAATGCCTTCCATAGGATTCAGCAACAATCAGAATACAAAAGTGGAAAGGGAAGAGGTGTTCTGGAGCTTACTAACAGGCTCAAATTACAATTCCTTAAAGAAGCCATATTGTTTCTTAGATTTATGTAGTTTGAACAGTGAGAGCCAATGAAAATAGTTTTGATTCAAGAAGGTACAACAGGTATGACATTTATGCACATGCATGCTCCTTCTGAACTCACCATGTAGCCCTAATGCCAAACACACATTTTTTTTATTGGCAAAACACAATGACCCCTTTCCCTAGTACTACTGCAGATAGTTGCAAATAGGTGTCTGCAAAGAGCACCTTTTATTTTGTGCTTTTGGTGGTTGCTGGTGGTGTCAGAATGCAGAAAATGTGTGGATTTCCTTTTGTTATATTGCTTGCTGGACAAGGATTGGCTGTTCTCTAGGCTGCTTAAAAATGGCTAGTTATAAATGTTTTTAAAAATGAACATTTGATATGTTTGGCCTCTCAGAGGACAATGGAAACTGCAGTATCTAATAGAACTTTTGACATGGAACGTGAGCTAAATCTGAGTGGTGATAAGCTGATCAGCACACTTCTATTGCCTGCTGCTAAGTGTGAAAATATCGTCAGGGCACTGCAGTGAGGCAAACGTGGATTGCATTAGATTTCCAAAGCAGTGAACCCAGAGTCTTTTATACAGAAGCTACTTAACACAGCCAATCAATAAGCTTTGTGAATTAACCTGAACCCTAAAAATGGCCCAATAATAAAAATAAAACACTCTGAAGAAGTCAGTTATAAGTGACCCTGCCAATTTTGACATTTGATTTTAATGATATTTGTGCAATAGATACAACTATTAAACTTGTTCATGAATCAATGTAATATATATTCATATATCAAACTGTTATTCCTTGCTTTAATTTGAGCCTCTAAACTGGAAATGGGTTTTTATAACTGCTCTTATGGCACTATATTAGCCCAATGACTGTTTTGAGTTGGGAATGGTGTATGTTGCACCAGGGCATAGAAACTGCTTAGTAAAAAAGTCTATCTTATTAAACCAATTGTTAACTTTTATTTTTTTGCTGAAATATTAATTTTTGTGACTTTTAGGGGTTTTGCTAAGATTTATGAACATATAATAACATCTTTTAATAGATATCTTTTACCATCTCTGCCATTAAAATTTGCGACTGCACTTTGTTCTAAAACATGTAAAAAAAATCAGAAATAAATCACTATTTTCTTTCATGTACCTGCTGAAGGCTGGCATAGAATTGCAGTTGGTACACCTACAATAAATGATATAAATTAAGAATTGAATTATGTCTTATCTATTCTGTGAATTCTTTAGGTGGCCATAAAACAAGTTGCCAACAAATTCCTTCATCTAAAATATGAGTTAATATTATAGACCTACCATTAAGGATTATAATTAGACAATGAACATCCTAAAACAATATGCAAATTGGAATAAGAAATTGTTCATTATTTGCAAAAAGCTGAGGTGTACTGACAGTCTTTTTCCATTTAAAATGAAGAATTAATTTCTTCTGTTGTTGGAGTATGTGTATATGTGTAGGGTTATCCGTAGCAGACAAATAACGTGATTTGTGCTTGCTTGACATGTTATCAAATTGCCATTTTCTCTACAAGGAAGTATACTGCAATGCCCCTCTTCCAATTCACATCAAAATATGCTATTGTTATACATAAAACATAGTGAATGATTTGAAGATATCACTTCCCAGTGAAAGGTTCCTCTCATGATCGGTTAGTTAAACGAATCTTGTTATTTTCAGCATGAAAGAGACACAACTCCAATTGTCTTCTTTTAAAATTTGTGAAGCTTAACTTTGAGAAGTATAGTTAATGCTTCTGTAAAGTAGGTCTCTGGAGATCCCTGCCATGATTTGCCTTGCTGAACTAGCAGTTTGAGACACTGGCAGAAGGTACGGGAAACAACTCCCAATTGTGGAGGAAATAAATCAATACTAGTACAACCAGATCACTTTGCATCTAGAAGTTGAAACAAAAATAGCAGAGTTATAATGTCTGACAGACATAGTTAAGAAAACAAATTTAAACACAGACACATTGGCTTGGCTTTTATTGGAAAGCCTAGATGCAATCTATAGTCATCAAGTTGTGGAAAACTTCAGGATACATATAAAGTTTGGAAGGCAAATGAAAAGAACAATACAAATTGGACAAAAAATACATTTCAAAATTGCATGAAAACATTTTGACTAGCTTTGCCTAAAATACTCTGAATTTCCAAAGGAGAATTACTTTAATACAGTTTTTCATTTTAAAAAAAAAATTAGTTTACATTTTCCCCAGTCACTATATCATGTAGGAACATTTCAGGTATTTTTTACAGTATGAGAAAGATCTACTAAAGACTTATGAAAGAAGGCTAATTGGCCATCATTCAATTTAAGCCAACAGATAAAAGTTTTGGGTTATTTGTGAAAGCACAAGGACACATCAACAGAAAGCTTAGTGCTATCCCAACTTGTCATACAGCAGATTTGTTGTAGTATTTCTATAGAATAGTATATTACTATATTTCCAGTATGAGCCCAAATAAACAGCAAACCCAGTGCTTTCAAAAAAAAAAAATCCTCTGCAATTCTACCAAATAGAACTATAGACAGGCTATGTACTGAGATTTAAACTGAGATAGGAACTAATGGCACTGATCAGCATTTTTTTAATCCTAATTTCTAAATTTGGATTCTTTGTGTCTGAAAAATAACAATAAAGCATTTATTTATACTTTAAATGTAATAAAATAGCTTTTTTCCCCAAATGCCTAGACTGTTATTCTATAGGTTGTGTCCAATGGGACACGGGTAAGTAATACTGTGACTTGCTTGATCATTCCATAATTCTTTGACAAGATACATACTGTGTAACTGAAAGCACACATATCTATTACAGAATCTCAGTGCAGAAAGCAATTAGAAAACAATTTAAAAATTCATGTAATTTATGTAATTCCTTTACATGTTTCAGATATATTTAACTGGCATTTAAATCTTGATTTTTAGCACAGAAAAATGGACTAGTTTTCCCGAAATAAACAATATTTTCGAATATATGCTGCTGAAAATAGTACAAAGGATGTAAGAGAGAAATTAGGCCTTTGAGATTTTTTTCCTTCCCACATATAAATTATGCAATACTAATACTGATAAAAAGTTTAAATGTATTTTCAAATCATGCAACATTCAGCTCAATTGCAAGTAACTTGTATTATTATACTTATAAAAAAGGATCGGGGGATCAAAATATTGTTTTAATGTGTTTTTCCATAAGACAATTACCAGAAACTGTCAATATTTTTTGCACCTGAAGGTTTTTTAAATGGAAGCTGAGCATTTCAAGTTTTTACACAAACATCTGTACTAACAAACTAGCTAGAAAAATGTGAAGATAGACATTACAGAATTTTTAAGTATGTTAAACTTCTTGAAATAGGTATTTTGATTGATTAATTAATAAGAAAGTGCTGGGCCAACTTTGTGCGAGGTTGGCATTTGGCATGAAAATTATGTTCCCCTCTTTCCATCCCAGATTTTATCAATAATGGAGCTATATTTAGAATCTATTCAGAAATATTCCTTTTGGTTGGTGTTTCAGGTATTCAATAGGAGAGATCTGATACTATAACCTGGTTTAAGAAAATTATACATAGTTTATATTAAATTCTTCTATCAGCACATCTCAAGTTCTAACACGTGTCTTTATAGGCAAGTCTTAAACATTATGATATCCACAAATGCTGATTAGATACTATCCTATCCTATTCATTTCTTGAACGTTTTTTCATTTTTTTTCAGTTGATAGGAAACCTTCCTTTTTGTTCCATCTCCTCAGATAAAATTCTATTTTTTTTCTTCCAGAAGAGAATTGAGTATGTCTTTTTCACACATGCAGAAAAACAAAACAAAACTAAACAAACCACAAAGACTCACAGGTTCCCAGACACAAGAAACTCAGTTATTGCTCTCTCACCATCACATATTGGCAACAATCAGGATGGCTGGGAGACCTGCTTCTTGTCTTGTCCTGTCCTTTGCAAGTTGGACTAAAAATGTAAGAAATAAACCCCCACAATGATGTGATGATGTCATCATGGGCAGATTCTTATTTATTTCCTGCCCATGTTTTGCTTGTTTCTCATTCTTTCCTGTGTCTAAGGGATATGTGTATGAAAACTAACATCCATAGAAAATGAGCACCTAAAAAGATCCTGTTTTATGAGGCTTCTAGAGGATGTTGCTTAATCCTCAGAAGACAAAAGAGCTAAATTCCCACAACATGGTTGACCAGATATAGTATTTCCATGATACAATTAACCTCCAGCTGACCCAGTTAAGCATATTGTGAGAATCAATCCTGTGTGTTTAGAACAGCATCAGCTTGTCTTCATGAACCACTAAATATCTGAGATTGCAGTCCTAAATTTATTCATCAAAGAATACATCCCACAAAGGAATTTACTTCTGTGTAAAGAAGTATGGAAATGTTCCTTTTATGACATAACACAACTTCACATCCCATATATTTTCTAAAACCCACACATTAGAAAGGTGTAAAAAGAATAAGTACATCTTGAGCTCTGAAAGAGAACAAGGCATGTCCAGCCTACAAAAGTCTTTTATGGTAACAAATGGGTCTTGCTGAATTGTTCTTCATTCCTTTTAGCAGTAATTGATGAAACCATGCTTGCCAGGGCTCAAGCAAAGAGAGAGAGAAAGAGAGGAAAAAGAGCAGCAACTCTGTTTCTTCTAGTCTGTGATTCCTCCATCCTTTCTCAAAAGCGATCCAAAGAGAAAAATGCACCATGTTAAAGTTAATACAAAAATATTAACACTTCTATCCAATTGTTGTATACTGTTATATCTCTACATTATAACTCTTAATACTGTACAGGTATAACATAATAAAAGGTGCAATTCTTTTTAAAAAATTCACACACTGCATATTTTTATTATTTTATTTAAGTATAAACTTTTTTAAACACTTTACATAAATTAACTCCTCTGAGACTAATATTTGATGTACAGTAAATTGTAATTCATATAAAAATCCATAAACAACTTGTCTCACATAATTTACAAAAAAATCAAGCTTCCTTTGCTTTTCTGTGACAAGAATTCTATTTGCCATTTTCCCCAAGGTAAACCTCATGATCACCGTAAAATCCATTACTAAATTTTGACTGTAGAATAAATTGCTTGTGCCAGTGTCCTTTCAAAAAGCAGCACCGTTAAAGCCATTGGGGTGTCCATACACAAAAAGTTTTGTCCCCTTCTTAACATGAACAGAGATTATATACCACATCCTAGGCAGAGAAAGGGAGTGAGCAGGAGATAAGAGGAGAAAGGGGGAGAAGGAAGAGGAAAAAAAACTAATTCTTGTAAGCAAAAGTCAACAATTTAGTAATATTTGGAAACACTGTTATCGCTTTCTTTTTTAGTTACTGGAATAGTCAGCCAGTTGGAAACTCTTTAGATCTTTTTTTTAGTACTTTCAGTCCAACGTGAGTGCAGCGATATGCATATGTAAACATATTCTTTAAAGCAGATCACCTTTAAGGTCATTCAGAAAAAAAACATAACTCCAGTTTTTCTTTTTAATATTATCAATCTTCTGGAAGGCTCTCTCTTTGTTGTAGAGTCCATTCAGATTGTGCTACAGATAAATCTGAGCAAAGATGTACATTTAGGCTCAAGTAATAATGCAGCAAACTATTTGGTCTCCCCTCTTAGAAGACACTGGCACAAGATCCGTCTCTTTGGCAAGCCAAGCTCAACCAATGTGTTACCTCTTTCCAATCTCACTTTGTCTAAGAAACTGTATATTGTTAGCACTGTCAGCTAATTCGGGGTATTGCTCAACAGAGAGTACATAGTACCCATCATATCCTTGAACTTTTCCAGCACTCAAAAGTTGCCTCTTTTCCCCTTCTGTCCATAGCCTGGCCCCTTCTTCTCCATCTCTCACTCGTTGCTGTTCTCTGGCCCAGGCATTGGAGAGAGCCCTTTGCCTAGCCTGTTCTAATATCCGTGCCTTCTCCTCATCAAGCGTCATGCCATAGCGGACATGAAGAGCCAGTGCACCGTACTGCATTTCAACATCAGCAAACCTACGAGTCCTGCCATTCACTACAGTGGTGGACTGGGAAACTGTGACATTGATGCCATTCTCCAGTGCCTTCCGGCCACTTGTCAATCTCAGCGTGCCCAAGTCACTCTCGGGTGAGGTGGTTTTAATGAAATAATGTGTGTCCTTTCCCTCAACAGTGAAGTGCAGGTTTTCCAGGTAGTATGCACTATTGAGAACAGCTGCCACTTTGATGCAATCTTCATTTGCAATGTTAAGCACATTGGTCTGTACTTTGCCTTGATTGACAGCAAGCATTACTCCTTTTCCAATCAAAGACTTCACAGTTGCAAACCATAACCAGGATTTCTCACTACCAGGTCTGCGCTTGCTGATCTGGACTTCTGCCATTTTTCCTAGGGATAGGAAAGCCTTTGCTTCCCTTGCCACTTCTTGTTGCACTCCAGAAATCGGCTGAAAACAAGGACAGAAATTTTTTTTTTACAAGCCTATAAATTCCAACAGTCAAGCATTTATTGGTATGGTGCCTGCAGCTGACAACATGATATGCCACAATGACACTGCTGCAGCTAATTGAATTCACAGACTGGATTCCACTCTTATAAATAAGTTCTACATTGCTTGATATATTTCAATATTTATTATAATTTTTGACCAAAAAGTTTAAAAAGTACCACAGAATGACAAAGAAAAAAAACCAGCCAAATCAACTATTACTTATTGTGATCATTAACCAATCAAAATAAAATTAGAAGCACTGAATACAGAGATCTGCTATGCTTCACTAGTTTTTATATCAGTCTTTATTATGTTAATTTACATACCATGGAATAGTACAAAAATAAAACATTGTCGAGCTAGGAAGATGAATGCAATAAATTGATATGCTGAAGAATTAAAATCAAAGATATCTTTGGTGCATACTTATAATGTAAATAATTACCAAAATAATTATTACCTGTATTCCTACCAGTAATTTTCTAGAAGTTTCCTTTAGTGATTTTCTCATTGCAAAAATGAAAAAAAGTTTATCATAAAACTCTTACGCTTGTTTATACACTTGGTTCAATTATCTATTTATTTATTATCAGGCCTAATTTTTTTTCATATGCTATAACTTTATTCAGAAAGGGAATATGATATGATATATGATATGATATAATATATAATGTATTAGATGCAGAAACCTGTGATAAACTTCCCTACAGGAGAGCAGTGTCCGTACCCTTGGGCTGCAAAGGAGTGTGGTAGTAGCTTTGGGCCACTACTACCTTTTTACCTAATCTATTTCACAGTAATACATTGCATTTCAACTGCTAGATCTGTGAAATAATTTCCCCCACTGGCTTAAAGTTCTACATCTCTAATTTCTTTTAGGAAATGTGGCAAGATACACAACTTTTGCCTTGCTTTGGATTTAGCAGGAAGTATCCAGATATACCATTAGGACACAAAGGTTTGTTTTTGGATATTCATGTCACAATAGAAATTCAGAGGTTTTAGAGATGCAGGCAGATACATACTACATGAATTTCTTCTCTATTTCCTCTTTTATGACTTCATTTTGTACTTATTCCTTCCTAATTTGTCTTGTCCACCGTTATGATAATGCCTTTGGGGTCTGCCTTCCTTCATTCTCTCATCATTGTGCACGGTATCTCTGTGCTCCCTTTATATTCTTCAACAGGGAAACGGGCATCTTGGATCACTGATGTGAGTGGCCCCGTCAGTAAAAAGCCCCAATGATCTCATCATTACATCTTGCCTATATTTGATCTTGAACAAGATCTGAGAGAACTTGTGAAATGAAGAAATGAGCTATGAATAAGGAGAAAAGGAGCAAGTTCTCTACAATATTTTTACATCAGAAATTCAAATGTATAAGTATCGATAGCAGCAATTGCACCAGATAACTCATCCCAAGATTTAATATCCATTTTGGGGAAAGGTCCTGGGTGAACCTTTCATATCACTTATGTTAGTTTTTACACGCAGAGGAAGGAAATTATACATATTTTTTATAATGATAGGACCAAGATTTCTACTGTAAAAACATCAACACAATGTTTCTGGATTTATGTAACATATGAAATTATTTTGACTCTTTTAATTTTAATAGCTTGGTAAATCACAGAGATCCTTCAGAATACAGCTATTTAACATTTGTAATTTCCTGCTGGTACTGAGAATTTGATGATAGATGGATTTTTCATTTCTGAATAAAATTTATAATTGCTATTTTCCTAAATGGTATATATGACTTTCTATCTTACATTTCATAGATTTTTGTAAATGATTTAGTTTTATACTTCTGTTTGGCAATGTATTTTTTAAAACAAGAAGTTTTACAGAGTTTGAATTCTATATAATGTAATACATTTTACCTGGAGTGATTTTATATTCAATATTTTATCTTCACATATAAAACATGGTTAATATTAAAGACAAGTAAAATTGTACTGCTGTACAATATGCATAATTTATATCACCTGTTATTCTGCTTTTTTCACATTCTATTTTGTATTACATTGTTCACTTTTAGCCTGGGGGGAGGGTGCTGCTATCAATCTAATCTCTATCGCTTCCACTAGGAATGCTATAATTCGGGGGGGGGGGAGAAGGATTTTAAAATACTATTATTTATTGATTAATCATTTCTTCCCTCTCACTTCAGTTTAGAAAATGTTAAAATTTAAGTTGAGTCTTTAGTTATTGGAAAAAAAAAATTCCTACAGAATTAACATCAGTTATATAGCTTGGGGACAAAGGTATATCAAGAAACATCTTTACAATGTTTTAATTTTTAAAATTCAATGTATGCCTCTGATGATTTTTCAATACTCTAATAGAATCTTTTATTATATTTTCTTGTAGTTTAATTTTACTTATATTTTTCTTACCGGTACATCATCCCATTGCTGACTCTTCACAAGTTCATAGGAGGGTTCAGTTAAATCAAATTTAGGCACAGGGAAACCTGGGATCGCATTGTGTAGATGAAAACCAAATGTCACCAGCCAGCTGTTAACATCTAGAAAGCAATTATAAAGTTAGAAAAATATCACATGTCCCTCAATATGTGATTGAATTTAAATGCAGCATAATTTGAATGAATGTCGATGAATTGGAAAATGCTCTGAGCTTTAAAATATATTTGGAGGAGACAATCCATGGCAGGGCTATAATTTATTTGTTTAAAGATTGTCTTCATTTATGTACAAATAATGACCCATAGAAAGCAATGTAGTGAAGCTATTTTTTCAATGCACTATTTATACAATCCAGGATAATCTGAAGCAATAATCTGTGATTCCTTGGATTATAGTGACAAATACTATAGATGATTCCATGTGATCCATACAATTTATTTATACGGATAAGGTTATCTACTTAATAAACATAGGGACAGCACTAGATCTTCACTCCTCACAATTTCAACATTATAGCAAGAAATCAGCAATAGTTTTACTTGAGTTTCCTATGAGTTCAACTATTGCAAGACAGCAAGGAACAGAAGAAACTATGCGGGAAGAATACTGCTATGTACATATGATCATGACTATTGCAAAAAAAAAGTATTTGGACATCTTTTAGGGAAAAAAGCCTCTTCAGTGAATAAGGTCTTAAACATCCTAATTTGGAATATATTTGGTCTTTTGACATAGTTCCAATTATGTAAGTTCACAGTGCAACTGTGACTTATCCTTAACGTTGCTGCAATGTAGTTGTATTAAACAGGTATAGGTAGCATGATACACATACTGCGTTCCCCCGAAAGACCTACCCTGAAAATAAGCCCTAACTTGATTTTTTGAGGTGGGCCTAATATAAGCCCTACCTCAAAAATAAGCCCTAGTTTTGGGGTGAAGTAAACACCTAAAAATCAAGCTAGGGTGAGGGGCGGTTGGAGCTTACAATTGCAGCCAGGCCTCCCATGGATTGACACTTGCCTTGCTGGAAGGAGCAGCTTCATTCTGCAGCTGACAATGGAACTCGGCCTGCACTTGGTAGTCAGAGGCCTTTCTATAGAAGGCCTGTATCACTGAGAACCGACCTATGGATTGAATCCATAGCTCAGTTCTCAGCTGCAGATGCCTTCCAGAAAGGCCTCTGACTCCAAAATGCAGGCCCAAGCTCCTTTCTCAGCTCCTGAATGAAGCTGCTCCTTCAGCTGCAGAAGTGGGCTGGCTGGCTGGGGCTGTTGGTGCCGCTGCTGCGAGGTGAGTGGAAAAGACCTCCTCTTCCGAAAATAAGACCTGGTGCCTCTTTTGGAGGCAAAAAAAAAAAAAAAAAAAAGACCGGATCTTATTTTTGGGAAAACATGGTAGGATCGTATAATGAGTTATAATTAGGTAAATAACTTATGCAAATAATTCATTTTAAAAAGGGAAGCATAGTTCTTAGATGCTGAGAGCAACTGCCACTGATATTTCAAGTGATTTACAATGAACCTGTATCCATTTCTTTGGAAGAAAAGAAATTGCAAAAGAATACAATGGTGTCCAAATATATATTTAACAACAAAATATAAGTATAGTGTGAATTAGGTTTTTGGATACAAAAATGTTTAAACATTAAAATACAAGATTTCTTGGTCTAAGGCCTTTCTAGTAAGTACTTGAAAACATAGCAGAGTTATGTAAATCCAAAAGCACTATTATTTAATCTATAGATGAACCCACAATAGCAAGAAGGAATGTTTGCACATTACTCTGCCCACTGACACATAACTGCTTGGAAAACTTTCCTTTTAAACATCCAAGGTGTTATCATGCAAGCAAGAAATCCTAGTATGTTTCCTAGATGTATTGGCCATCTGGCATAATAGCACTCATAATACACAATAAATTTGCAGACTTATAAACTGTTGCCGTAGTAACCATTTAGTCAAACGGAAACATCAAACCCCCCTTTTCTATTGAATCCTCTAAGAGATCAAATATTCTGTAGAGACAAGGAACAAGGCCTATTATGAGGATTTCTGATAAGTCTTATCTTCTATTAAGGGACTACATCTATCATTGGCTATAATGAAATTCTTCCCTGGGAAAAAAGTGACCATCCTGAGGACTTTCTATAGACACAAGATCTCAGATAGATCTAATTAAGAAAAATGATATATTTATTTACTATTTTACCCAACTATGTATAATTCTCACCTATGTGAAGCAAGATAGAATGTGAAGCAAGGTAGAATTTTTACCTTAATAAAGTATATTCCTACTCATATAAATTTTACAGTACATTGCTATCAGATGCTGTAATTCCAAGGCAATATACACGTATAATGTAATTTAATAAAAATCAACAGAGAATTGTACTTCATTAAATGTACATATTTACCTGTGATATAATCTTTCACATCGTTTATTCTGCTGGCTGGATTATTATTTCTAAACATGTACAGGTTAAATGGAGCTGGATCTTTCCCTATTTTTTTCCAAATTTCAATATCAGGTGTAGTCCAACGGCCTGCCAATATGTCATAATCTCTTTGACCAAAATGAATTAGTTTGGTTAGTGGGTCATAAAGACCTCCATGGAATCCTATCACTAACTGGAAATCAAGGTTAGAATCGAAATAGATTTCACCGTAGGCAGTGTACTGAATCTGCTTCAGCATTAGACCATTACTACTGAAAACAGCCAGTGGGGTTCCAGTATTATCTGAGGCAATGTAGAACTCATCTCCGCTGCTAATCTCCATAGCAAATAAATGTCCTTGCAAGTCATAATAGAGAGACGTGATTTCAGAGCTTGAGTGGTTATACACATGAGTTATTCTTGTTGGATATATGAGATCTGCATAAAAAAATTGAAGATGCTGTCCCAGGCTGGTTTTACTGGAAACCCGTCTTCCAAGTCCATCATAACGATATATCACTGTCCATCCACTGCCTTTGCTATAAACTCTGGTAAGAAGGCCCTTTGAACTGTATTCAAATATCTCAGTGCCCCTCTGTCGCAGAAATCCATCTTCATCTAACCGGTACTGAACATCACCAAGTCGAGTGATTCTGTCCCTCAGATCGTATCTCAGTGGTGTCAATCGAGCACTATTACTTGGATTCAACAAGTGGAGATTGCCATTCAAATCATAATTGTAGCGCCACATTATTTTCTCATTAAGGTAAACTGTCTGTAGCTGGCCATCAACATCATATTCATAACCGTACTTGGTAGTGTTAGCAAATGGCCCTATTTTAATTTCTCTTTTAGTTACTCGGCCCATGTTATCATACTGAATTGTAATCCAGTACATAAGTGATCGGAATATTTCATACTGAATTTCCTTTATGCGACCATGAGCATCAAAGTGTTTTGTGTAAGTCATTACAGCTGTTGAAATTATCTGATTAATGTCATAATAAATAACCCCAAATTTTCCAAACTGCTCAACTTTTCCAGATATGTCATCGAACTGATAGAGATCAATAGGCAATGGTGTTTCATTGATAACACCTTGCATGCTAGTCACTCTGAAGCTGTTGTCATAGCTGTAGTCAAATCGGGCATTTACCATTCCATCTTCACTAAAACGGAAAATCTGCCTGTCAATCAATGGACCAATTTGCCTGTATCTAATGGTGCAAATAAAGCCATCACTCTGGAGATTTATTGTTTTCAGAACTCCTGCTGTCTCATCGTAAGTAAAACTCACTCTTGTGCTATCATATAGAATTTCAGAAAGCCTCGTCTGCCTTCGGTATTTGAACAAGATTCTCCGGCTTGTGCCCAAGAAAGCAGTTTGTAACAGCTGCCCTTCTTCATTATAGTCCATGATGACAGAGGCATTGCTTTCTGGAGGATTATAGATGTTCCGATAGTAGCCAATAGAACGGATAGTCTGCATAGTGTGGCGAGCTACACTGGGCATGGTTATTGCAGAAAGCCGATCCAGTAAGTCATATTCAAAGATATACTGCCGTTGGCTATGCAGTAAGAGAACCATTGACTGAAAAAGAAAACAGAGTTTAATCAAGTGCCAAAACTATTGGTAGACAAGCAACACTGTTTTTTACTAAATCATCATTGTTCAAATTGAGTAATTCTTGACCTTACATATTGGTAATTACCTAATTCATTTGGATATTTAATTGTAAGAGGATCTATAATGAGTCGCTCCAGATTCCTAATGTGTTCTTGTTGTGACTGAGTCATCCTTTTATCAAGTACTCAATGCCAAACAGCAGATTGTCAATGGACTGGGATAAGTCATGTTTAATACCAACAAAAGTGAGGCTGTGTTAAGCCAGCAACTCAAGAAGGGAACAACATATGGAAGAGACAATTTCACTCCTGTAATTAGAGATAATTTACTGAGAATTTTACTAGCCTGAAGATCCCTGAACCTCCTCTTTTATATCTGTCAGATGGGCGAAGCAATTGACTTGTTATTTACATCAAATTCTGCAGAGTTAATTAGTCACCAAATGATTCCTTTTGTAAAGCTTTGGCATTACACATCACTACCACTGTTATTTTATATTACTCACATGAAGATGTATAAAACTCTCAGCATCTGTCACTGTCGGTGGCTGTTTCTACCTAAGGCAAATTCTGCTGTCCCACTAAAGGACATCAAATTAAATAATGATAAAAGACTCCTTATGCTTTGTTCAGTATTGCCATGCTAGGGAGTATATAATTAAGTATGTAGCACTGATTTAATACCATATTTCATTTTGGGCAAAGAAACCCCTAATTCTGGGCCAAGAACATAAATAACCAATTTTGCTGGACGAACGTGAGGAAAACACATTAGTGTTTGTGTGTATGTATATGTGTGTGTAAGAGACAAAGAGAGACACATATACACAAAGAAAAATCATTGTTTAAATCGTTACTTTTGTGCTGCTGTTTAGAACTCTTTCAGAAGTTTGATTTGATAGTGAATATGCTGTTCTTTCTTTGTGCAAAGTGAAAAAAAATTTTTCCATTTTTTTAGATTCCCTTTTCAGATTTAGCCTGGAAAATCTACAGCTGTTTTATTACCCTATATTATAAAATTCAATGTTTTTATTTGTGTTAACAGACACTCTTAAGGGTAACTTCATTTGAAAAAATATGATACAAAATAAACAATCATTACAATATTGAGAAAACTGTTAGGTTAACATGACAGTTCATGAAGAAGACTCAGTATGTCCAGATACATTGACTCTGGTTGCCACTTAAGTGCACTTCAATCTCATTGAAATCCTAGAAATGTATAATCATTCCCAGTGATTTCAATGACATAATTAAATTCCATTAGCTAGTAAATTCCAGTAAAACAAATTTATCTTACATACTGTATATCTTAATCAGTTTTCTGGGATGGATTTTCTTTAAACACAGTGCAATAGTGAGGATGTGGGCTAGGACCAAAGAGATCAGGGTTCAAATGCCCACAAAGTTAGAACATTTACTGGATGAGTAGGATCAATCATTACTGTTCAGCCGAGTTGACTTTGCAGGGCTGTTGCAAAGAAACAACAGACTAGGGGAATGAACTGTATGTGTGTAAGATCTTGGAGGAAAGTGTGTATACACTCACAGATACCCTTTCTCTGTCCAAAACTGCAGCAATATCATACAGCAATCATTTTAAAATTTTATGCAGAAATAATTCTTTAATAGAATTGCAAATCAACATTCCAACTAATAGTACCTTTTCAAGATATGTGTAACTCCATGTTTTACCATCAGCAAATACTCTAGATACAATCCTTCCCTGTCCATCATAATCTACTTTTTCACTAGTGGTGCCTCGCTGGATGCTACCAATTTGACCTGTAGATGAATAGGTAACATTGACAGCCATAAGCTTGCTGCTTGGGAACCAGAGAGTTGGATGTCCTGAAGTATCATAGGCGATTCTCAGTAGAAATTTACGGTGATCATCATAAATCTTCTCTGTCTTTGAAGTCCGATCAAAGTCAACTGAAAGGAGGTTCCTACCATTAACCTTTTATGAAACAAATAAGACAACAAAATAAATAATGTGGGGAGGGCATTGAGCTGCTTATTATTTCTTTATAGAATCAGCCACTGTTTGAATACCATTGTTTAAAGATCATTTACAATGATTGATTTTCTTTGTCAGTAAACTAATTTAGCAGCTTCTTAGTATAATAATCAGGAATTAGGTTGCCATTTTCGAAGGTTTCATTAAATAAATATTCATTGACATTTATTCAAAATGTTTTCAATTAATGCTGATAGAATTTGTTAAATGTTAATATAATTCAACAATATATACATTGAGAACTTTTATAATACTCAACAATATTTACAGAGGAAATTATGAAGGTATAGCAGAATTATCCCTATAATAATGAAAAACCAAAATAAAAGGCCAACAAATATGTTGATGAAATGTAGGAACTGCTTTTCAAATAGATCATCAAAAATAGACACTGGCAGTTCTTTCACATAATAAAATTAGCTTATTTTATAGGTGAGAAATTTTGAATTTCTAATTTTATATGGTGTATTATATTTCACATAGGATATAATATGAAGAATTTTCTGAAAGAATTTATCTGGCTAATGAATCATCTGAGCTGCATTGCTTGAAGCCAGAAAGAAATATTTAAAGTCCAAGAAAAGTAATCTTCTTAAAACAGATAATAAATTATTCAGACTTTCATAAATAAAAACAAATTTTGATATTTTGATCTAATAGCCAAAGACTAGAATTATCTAGCCAAATGCTGTATTTTTTTTTTTAAAAACCCTCACTTATTAAAGATTGATAAATTCTACAGCAGAAGACATTTACAAATAAATATCATTAGGACCAGGAAGTTGGATATTTTCTGCAATCCACTGAAGCAAGAAGCAATGAAAAGTAATGCTTTTCAATTGTATAAAAAAATCTTATAATACACAATATAAAATGTAAGCATTTATATTATTTCTTACAAAAAAGCCAGAACAATGGTGAGTTTGCATTTTAATTTCAATTTTGTTATATTCCATTCTTTCCATAATTTTACTGCCTGTTTAAGTTTGCGTTCTATTTTTCATTTTAGTGTCAGGTTTTACTATGTCAAAATCATATAAAGACATCCATTATAGTTAGAAAACAGAATTCTATTGAAAAAATGGATTAATGATTCAATATCATTAGTTCTGGAGCCTATCAGGAGAAATATGGTGCGATCTGTAAACTAAAATATTTATTTTGTTACATAGTCTAGAGCAGGGCCGGCCCATGGGCCAGACGCGTCATCCGGAAGCCGCACCCACCCCATTTTGACGGCAACGGCAAAACCGGCCCGATACGTTGTGTGACATGTCTGGTCTAGAGATATGAAGAATGATTTTTGTTGGGCAATACAAACAAAAGGGTCCAAAGTTTTCTGATTATATTCCAGAAGTTTTTAAAAGGAAAGCATTTTTAGAAGGACAGTGGATTTATAGTCTTTAATTATCTGAATGCAGACAGAAAAATCTATTCCAAGTTGGGGTCCTGCTGTTCAAAATCTTTTTCCATAATCCTCCAGGCAGTTGTAATTTGATTGAAGTATTCAAAAGTGAGGGTCAATAAGAACTGTTTGCAACATACTTCTTTTCATCATTCTGTTTTGATAAGAAATGTTTTTGAAAGCTTTCAAAGTGCACGTACATTGTATAAATGTATGCTTTTCTGGAAACCGCACAAAAGCAGTAAAAAACAGTAAATCATAAGTATAAGATAAGAAAAATGCAAAAGGTAAAAAGAAGTATATCTAAATTTAGTTTACACCAAACTATTCACCATAGCTCTCCATATACTTTTATTCTTACCAATCACTCTTGCTTTTAGCACATTTGTGCACCACTTGTTTACACTCACAACTTGTTTCTTTTTTCAAGACCTTGTCCACTCCATCCAACTACAATTTTCTCAGCCTTCCGGTTGCTCTTGACCCATTCATTCTCCCTTCAGATGTATTTTCTATAATTGGACCCTCATTCAATTTCCCCCTCTGATGAAACCATCTTACCAACCCTTCACTTTGTATTAGTCACTGACATTTGTATTCACATTCATTTGAAACTCATTCATTCTTTACTGTACAACCTTTTGTTTTACCATACATTTATCTGAATACAGGTAATCTCTGAGATACGAGTGTTCCCTTAGCGAACCTTTGAAGTTATATGATAAGCACCCCCTAGTGTTTACAAGAAAGTCCCGAAATTACAAACGTTGCTGCACCCTTTTGAACGATCGCAGTGGTACTACAACATTCACCCTGACTATTACTCACCCCCTGGATCTCTCTAGACACTGGGCCTGTGGATACTCACCTTGTGAATATTGAGAGATCCTTTGCTTTTTTTTTTTGGCTGCTCCAGGCCTTCAGTGCATTAACAAAGAATGGAGGCCTAAAGTAACGCAAGCTCATATGAGATCAGTGGCGCGAGATCTCACGCTACTGATCTCACATGATTTCACGATAGTTTAGGCCTCTATTCTCTGCAAGAGAGAACAGAATGGAAGCCGGCAGAGCCTTCTACAGGCCTCTAGCGGCCTGATCCAGGTGTCGGAGGCCTTTTCCGGCTGCTGACGCCCAGAAAGAAAGCGAGAGGATGCTTCCACAGGCCTCCGAAGCCCAGAATGGAGGCTGTGGGAAGCTTTTGTGTGCTTCCAGAGGTCCCAGAACTGCGGCCGTGGGCGACAGCCATGTGTCCTGGAGGTCCATTGTGGGCCTTGGAGGCCTCCTTCTGCTCTTGCCGGGAACAGAGAAAGAAATAGAGAGGCTGGATAGGAGATAGATCTTCATAAGGTGACCCAGTGCGGCAGGATTGGGCAGGGGAGCAATTGTGGGGACTCCAGGGGAGGGAGCATGAGGTATCTCAGTGGGGGGGGGTTGGGTGGTCTGAAGCAGGTAGCCTGTTCCATCACTAGGCACCCAGTGGCCTTTCCCCACCCTGAGATACCTCATGTTCACTTAATGAGCCATGCATTCACCTATACATTAAATTAGCGAATGCATGGGCGAATACTGGGAATCTCAAGGCACGAGATTCACTCTTACAAATCCTTCAGTTACGAATGGATTGGGCTGGCTCCATTACATTTGTAACTCCAGGACTACCTATATGCCATTCCTACTGCATTCAACTTATTTTTATATTTCTGACCTATCCAAATTTCAGTTTCCACATATCAAAGTAGTTAGAAGCGGTTCTTATATACAAACAATTAAATTTATTTCATACAATATGGACATTCATTACGTGCAAAAGAATACATAATATTTATTTTTCTTTCTATCAGCACTTGTATCACTTAAAATGTTACTATTCCTTTCCCATTTTTAGCAAACTTTCATCAAGATCCAAGCCAATCAATGTTACTGTGATTCAAATTGTTGCTCAAACCATAAAGGTAGAAGAGGATGTTTTTCACCTTTACACAATGCCACAGAAAGAGAGCATCCCATTTGCAACTATCTTTTGTTATGTGTACATATTAACGTTCTCTCAGTAGCACTATTTGCAGAGATCATTCTAAGCAACTCTTGGCATACTCTTCATTAGAGTAACCCCCACATTCTGTGGTACTCTTCTCACTTCCACACAATGAGTCTAATTCTCACTTAATTCCAGGCAACTTTCTTTTTTTAATTTTTTTTTATTTATTCCTTTTTCACTATACAACAAAAATAAAAATACATTTTTTTCTTAACAATACTGTGTTATACATCTCATATATATTATTTACAATTTATTTACATTAGTAATCATGTCTTTTTGTTTCTCTGTTCTAGCCAATCATAACATTTGTTCCATATTTCATAAAATTCTGTTGCCTCCTTGTCTTTTAATTATAGCGTAAGTTTGTTCATTTCCGCGCATTCTAGAATTTTGTATATAATCATATCATTTGTAGGTATGTTTTCACCCTTCCAACACTGGGCATATACTATGCGGGCTGCTATTAATATATGTATAATGATGTATTGGAGTTGTTTTTCCATCTTTAAATTTATTATACCCAAAAGAAATAGTTCAGGTTTGAGTTCAATTTGCACCTTAGTTATCTCCTGTATCCAGTTCCTTATCCGTTCCCAATAGGTCTTTGCTTTAGGGCACAACCACATGTGATAGAATGTTCCCTCCTTATTTTTACATTTCCAACATTCTGGATTCATATTTTTGTACATTTTAGCCAATCTCGCCGGTGTTAAATGCCATCTATAGAACATTTTATATTGATTTTCCCTATAGGCAGTTGACAATGTCAGTTTACAATTTATGTTCCATAATCTTTCCCATTCTTCCAGTTTTATATTTCGGCCCACATTTCGTGCTCATGCTATCATTTCACTATTTCTTCCTCCAAATCTACCTCTAATAAATATTTATAAGTTTTTGTTAAAAATTTTCCTTCCTTACCTGTTAAAATTTTATCCAATTGGTGTGGGATCTGGTTTATTCCGTGTTCTTCCATATCCTTACTATGTTTAGATTGGATCTGTAAATATGGCCACCAATCTATGATTATTCCTTGTTCTTCTAATTCTTCTCTTGATTTGAGGATTCCTTGGTTATCTAATAATTCTTTGTATCTAATCATCTTTTTTTTAATCCAAGGTGTTAGGGGGATCATTGCCTCCATCGGTGAAATCCAATTTGGGATTTTCCTATAGTGTCTTTTTTTTACTTTTTCTCACGTCCAAATCTGTGCATCTCTTATCTGATGTTGATAAAAATATGTGTGTGTTTTCTTGTATTTTCCCCATAAAAAGGCATGCCAGCCAGCCTGTAGGTCATGCTCTTCAATCATTAAAACCCTTTTATTGTCTAGGTTTATCCAATCCTTGATCCAGAGTAGTCCAGCTGCTTGGTAGTAAATTTCCCATTTTGGGAGCCCAAGTCCACCTCTACTTCTACTATCTTGTAAAATTTTCGTGTTTATCCATGCTTTTTTGCCTGACCAGATGAATTATTATTTTATCTAATTCTTCA